AAAGCGAATTATACTCAAGCGACGAAGGCTTCATCTCTGCCTCGGACTGCACGGCCCTGGGGCAGGCGACTGGGGGCTTGGGGGGACAGTGCCAGTGTGACCCCGGAGGGGCAGAGACACATCCCCCCTGAAGTCACCAGGCCCGTCCCCTTGGCAGGTGAATAGCTACATCCGTGGCGAGAATGTCACCGCGAGGGCGTCCGGTAGCCACGCCCGCGGGGACGGTATCCGGCGTCCGTACTCGTGGGGGGACGGTGTGGAGCGTGCACGCCTGGGGAGGGGTCACAGGGCGCGTCCACGATGACCGTCGTCGGTTGTCGTTGCTAAATACGCTTGCGGTCACTCCCGCCGGTGTCGTGAGGACACGGACCCTTTGTCGTCACCGCCGTCTTCGATGCGAGGCAGAAGGGAGACAGCCCTCGGCCTCTCGGGTCCGGAAACGGCTGCCGGGCCGCTGCTCGTGGTTTTGGTCGGAGCGTCCCCGCTCTGGCTTCCTGTGTGTGTCGCGAACAGAGCCCGAGTTCTGGAAAGGCTGCGATCCGTCGCCGTGGCGGATGCTGGGGGCAGCCTCACGGGGGCCCCTCCCCCGCCCCTCTCCGCAGCACCTCGTCTGCCCCGTCAGGCCGGGCGCCTGACTCTGGAAGGGCACTCGGGGGTCCTCACTGCCCACCGTCCTGTCTGTGTGCCTGGCACGTGTGTGGGTGTGTGACGTGGGCCCCCGGGTGCCCCTCGTGCCGAGCCTGGGTGTCGTGGTCCTGGAACCCACCCTGTCCCCGTCCCTCAGCTTCCCGGCCCGGGGCTGCCGGCCCCTTGGCCCATCCAGGGACGGACACCCCCCGAATACCCAGAGAGGGGCCACCCTGGCCCAGCGGACTTGTGAAGAGGCCGCCGTGTCTGGCCAAGGGGATGGTGTTTATTCAGTTTGGAACCGGCTTCCAGGACTCTGATGGGGCCTTGCCAGCAAGCATGGCTGCGGGCCCAGTTGGGGGGTGGTCCTGCCCCACGCCAGATGTCCCCGTTCAACACATCGGAGGGGCCCCCACAGGACTTGGGCCGGACACGGGTACGCTGGACGCAGCAAGTGCTGTCCCCTGTCCAACCTCCACGTGAGTGGTGCCCAGTTTCCCTGGTGGCCAGCACCCCACCTCCTCGGGGTGTGTACCTGGGAGGTCCCACGGTTTAGGGGTGGCGGGTAGGGGTGGAGGAGGGGTCAGAGTGCGCAGGGGACACTGCCCACGAGCCTCCCCGGCCCTGTGCGTCTCCCTGTCTGTCCTGCAAGCCTGCGCCCCGAGGCAAGATGTGAGTGTGCGGTTGTGACCGTCTGTGTAGCCTCCGGAACGTTCTGCGTGCCCCCCTCCCCCCACAGCGGCAGCGGGCCTCATGGCTGCTCCTCCAGGCTTCAGCTCAGTACTTGGGCTGCAGTACTGAGGCTGGCAGGCAGGTGGCAGTGTCGAGCCAGCAAAGGGCCCTGTCCTGACCTCAGGCCTCCCCCACTCCGGGTATAGACCTGCCCCCATCTGGAATCCAGGATGGGCCAGCTTGTGTTGGCCTCACCAGCCACCAGGGCTTGGCCACGCATGCCGGTGCTACCCAGGATCCCATGGCACCTCCCTCAGCCGCGCAGAGTGATACGGGGGTGAGGGCTCAAGTCTCCGCCCACATGGTCCTCTCCGCCAGCCCCCCGTCTCTGTGGCCTCAGAGTTGACACCGTCTGGCACCCGTCTGTCTTCTCTGAGCACCGGTGGCCCGGACCCAACACGGGGTGTCTGCAGGGTGTAGAGAGAACTCGTGGCCTCCTGGTGCCTGCAGAGGACCCGCCCTGACCCCCAGCCTACCGGCCAGTCCTCGACCCCCGGCGTTCATTCCACCCCCATCTTGTTTGGTTTTCTCACTGTTCCCTCTTTAAGGCAGCGGCCTATGGTGTTCCCCTGACCCTCACCCCCCTGGAAAACTCCTACACAGACGTAAAAACCCAGCTGGGACATTGCCTCCTCTAAGAACTCGTTATCCCTCTCCGTTTTCTTGTCCCCCCGGCTCTCTGATAACACACTGCACGTCTCAAGTTGGACAGAACCCCTCGAGGGCAGACCTCTTGTTTTTCCTTTCCAGCCCAGTTGTTGACTGAGCCCTCCCGGCGACTGTGTTGAGCTGAACGGACTCTGTGAGGAGCAGATCTCCTAGAAAGCCACAGTGTGATTTGTAAAGGGAAGGGGAGTTGTTGGCAAACGTCTGCGTGTTTTAGGACATTGGGAAGTCGCTTGAATGCAGATTCCTGGGCCCCCGCTAGAGAAAATGAATATGAGTCTGTAGGTCGGGGGTGGGGCCCGAGAATCTGTGTTCTCAACAAGCAGCACAGGCAGGGGTTTCTGATGGGGTGGCCTGCAGCCCCCGCAGGAGTGGGAGCCCGAGGCCGGAGCTTGACCCCTGCCTAGAACCTTCTGTTTGGCCAGGGAGTCTCCAGTCAGGGCACAAGAAGCTCCATGGAAGGACGCCCGGCCAAAAGAGCTGCCGCCCTCGGCGGGGACAGGAGCAGACGGGTCCCCAGGGCACGGGGCTTGGCTCACGACAAGCCCTCCCGGGGCTGGGTGACGCAGACACTGTGATAACCGGAGCAAACAGGGTGGCTTCCTGGAGGCGGTAGCTCTCGGGGGGAGGGTGGGCTGAACGGAGGGAACGTGTGTGGGCAAAAGCTGGGAGGCGAGACCCTGCCGGGGACCTTTGGGAGCCCAGGGCGGCCACACATAGGTCAGTGTGGGGACCCAGGATTTCCTGAGAAGGAAGGAGACCCAGCAAGGTAATTTGCTGGTTTTCTGGGGGCGATAGTGAGCTTGCAAGGGTGGATTGAGAGGGAGAAGCCTCTGAGGCAGGCCCGTGAGGGACCAGGACGGGGGCAGCGCAGCAGAGAAGGGCAAGACAGAGCCCCCCGGCCCCGGGAGCGGGCAGGGCACACGAGGAGGCCGCCCGAGCCCAGCTGCCCGGTTCCGTCCTCCCCCTGGCACTCCATGGCTGTGTGACTCCAAGTCATTTGAACCCGCTGTGCCTCAGTTTCCTCCTCTGTAAAATGGGATGGTGTGCCACCTTAGTTCTCTCGTAGAGAACACTGCTCACTCACCGGTGCGGGTGTTGGACGAGGGGACCCGGCAGGGAACAGACAAAATGGGTCTGATAAAGGAGCAAACGGGGATCGCCAGCAGCGGGCGGGGGGGGCCGCCCTGGCCATTCTGTCCTTGAGAAGGCTAAGGACGGCCACCGTTCTGATGGATCCCCCAGGAGGCCGGGAGGCTTTGGCGGCCCTGTGACAGACGGTCCTTCCTTCTCACCTCCTCCAGAGGCAGGCAGGCCAGGCCCCGCTTCCTCGTTGGGACTTCTCGCCAGCTGCCTCTCAGGGTCACCGCGAGGATGGAATGTGCTAGAACGCTGACAGCAGGCCCACTGCCCGCAGTCAGAGTGCGCGGCTCAGCTCCGAGGGCTTTGCTGGCTGCCTGGGCTGCTGTGCTTGTCACTCTTAACTCTGGGGAGGAGGGGACGGGACGGCGTCGATCCAGATGATGGGGACGCCTGTTTGGAGGAGGGGGTTGCTGAGTTTGATCTGAGGCTTGTGAGTGTGAACTGGCAAGAGTGACCCCAGCAGAGGTCAGGAGGGGCGTTTGGGGCCGTAGCCGACCCTCAGACATTTGAAGTGTTCCCGCCCCAGCATGAGCAGTGGACGCCCTGCCCTGCCGCCCCCCCCTCCCCGCCGAGAAGGGTCCCAATTTGGTTCGGCTGCCGCAGAGGCCTGACCAGAGTGAATTCTCATCTCCCGCAGCCTGAGAGGTAAGACCGTGTGCCCATTTGGTAGAGACATTAAGCGACATGTTCTTTTTCCAGCCACTGGGTCCGTCCCCGGTGTCGTCTCCTGCTCCCCAGGGGACTTCGTGAGTGACACCTGCCTCTCTGAGACGTGGGGGGGGGGGGGGGGGGGGGGGGTGTGTGTGGAAGGGGCTTTGCAGTCACTATTTTGGAGGTGGAAATCCCAGGGATCTAGACAACGCTGGTAACACTTTCCCCCTGACCTCCAGGCCCTCCGGGTTCCCAGCAAAGCCGGGGAGCCCTCGGGGGCCTTACGGGCAGCTGCCTTGCTCCCCGCTTTCTCCTCCTCCCAGGTTGGGCCTCACTGAGGCCCTGTATACAAGGAGCAGTCTGGGATTCCCGGTGTCATTAGGGAAAGGCAAAGCTATCCACGTGGTCCAAACGACGTTCGGAGACACTTGAGTGCAAGGTGTGGGCTCGCTCTCGTCTCCCGGGCGCGCGTCTTACCTGTCTTCCGCGACACGCCGAGACAGGTGACGACAACGTGAAAGAGAAAGGGAGAGCCAGTCTCAGTCCCCCGAGGGCAAAGACGCCTGCTAGAGGGTCCTGCCTGCGGCTGGAAAGCTGCAGCCGGAGGCCGTCAGCTAATCGCGTGCGTCGAAAGTTCTATCTTGAAGGGCACCCCAGGGGCACCTCCAAGGTCACTGGATTCGTGGGCCCCCCCCCAACTGCTCGTGTCAGGAAACCCACCCCATCTTCCCCTCGGGTGGCGAGGCAGATCAGCGCTGGGATCGCAGTCCAGCTTGTACATCCGAATTCGTTAGGCACAAAGCAGCCCCCAGCGTGCGCGTCCACGCGGAAGCCCGACCCGAAACCGGCTGGGCTCTCTGAGGCTGTGCGCCCCTCTGGGGCACATTCCAGTCTGACGTTCTGATTCCCAGAGGCCACTGTCCTTTGGCCGCCGTGTGTCTCCCTAACTGCACGGACAGTCGGGGCCCCGGAGGCCCCTCCAGAGGTACGGACAACACGGAAACCAGTGCTAGCGTGGGTTGGGACCAGCTTCTTTGCAGAGGCGGCTGGGGCCCTTCTCCGGGGGCATCAGCACAGGGGGCTGGGACGCAGAACACAAAGCACTTGGGCACGGGGGCCTGTGAAAACCTGCCCCACCCCATGGGATCCGAGGGGCTCGGGAACACAGAACAGGGAGCCTCTCTGGGTCTGCACGTTTTATTAAGATAATCAATCAAGTTCTTAAGTTATTTTTGTTAATCGGACTCTCTGGAGAGAACATGCACCGGGTGTAGATATACAAAAATAGATCAGGCACTTGCCTCTCTTGGACGTAGGCTCCGGGTTGTTCTCTCACCCCCACCCCCACCACGTGGGAGAGCCTTTCTGCCCCCGTCGCGGGGGATGAACAAGGGCGTGGGAGGGGAGTCCCCTTACCCATTGGGTCCATTCAGGCCAGAGGGCCCCTCCGAGGCCACACTGGGGAGTTTCTGGGGCACCCGTCCGGGGCAGCACCAGACCGTGGCCCCTGGCTCCCCGCCTGCCCTGGCAGCACGTGCGACGGGGGCCCAGCAGCACTGGGGACAGCGCGTGTGGAATCACCGCGTGTGGAACCGGGCGGCCTGACCCAGGGCAGCTACCGCCACGGCATCTCTTTAAGCAGCTGGGCCCGGAGCCCCACGCAGGTGACGGCGGACGTTCCGAGAGCTTCGATGCCTCCCCTTGGCGCCTGGCGGGAAGGCTCTGGCGCGAGAGTCCTGATCCTGGAGAGGTTGCGCGGACAGAGGTTAGCAGGGACGCCCTGGGGGCGAGGCTCCCGACGCGGAGCGCCAAGGCCTCAATTCAGGCGGGCCGTGCCCGAAAGCCTCTGCCCCGGCACACGGCCAACAGCTCCGGCAAGGTCTCTACCAGCGCTGGCCCCTGGCCTCACGGCGGGGGCCTTTGCCCGCCCTCCTGGCTCAGCCGCCACCAGAGGGCGCTCGGCCCGGGCCTCTAGCCGAGCTGCGCGCCCAGCGGAAGGCCCGCTCTGGAGACCCCTCTTCCCAGGAAGCCAGGTGTCTGGACGGCACGTGGCCTGGGAGCCAGGCCACCAGCCCCGGTCAGACGGGGTGGCCGGGGTCTCGGGGGGCGGCGCCAGTCCCTCCGACCGAGGCTGGTCTCCGCCCTAAGGGCCCGCCGCGGTCGCACGCCTTCCTCTCTCGGGGACCCCCGGGAGGGGCGGGGGGGGGGGCACCCAACCTACCGCAAGCCCCTCCCCCCGCCCCGGCCCGGAGCGCTTCGGGGAGCCACGCCCATGCCGCGTCCCCCGCTGTCGTGCCCACGGAACAGAAGTGTTCACCGAGTCCACCCCACCTCCCTCGTGCCCGGCTCCAGGCTGAGCCACGCGGTCCGTCCTTGGGGCCCCCCCCAGCCCAAGGTCGCTGCGGGGTCGGGGGTGGGCGGCCCCGCCCCGTCAGAGCGCCGCGGGCCCCAGGAGGAGCTGGAGCTGCACGCTGGACGTGAACCGGCGGCTGGGCCGGCCCAGGCTGCAGTGCAGGGTGGTCCGGAAAGTGTTCCTGGCGCGCTTGGGGAAGATGATGGTGGTGCTGCGGAAGTGCAGGGCGCGGGGCCGCGGCTCCAGGGTCAGCTGGCTGCGGTAGTTGCGCCACGTGCAGTTGGGCGCCGCCACGATGGTCTCGCTGTAGGCCGTGACCGTGGGCACGGGCGCGTAGAAGACATTGTCCCGGAAGTGCCTCTCGGAGGCGTACTTGACCTCGGAGTTGCAGCTGGGGCGGGCGGGAAAGGCAGGGTGAGCCCGGGACGGGGGCGGGCCCATCACCCCGGGCCCCCCCTCCCCCGGCCCCTCCGCCCCCGCGCGGTCCAGGGCCGGGAGCTCCGTGAACCGGACCCTCCGACACCACCGGGCTCTTCCCAGATGTCGAGGCCACAGGCCAAAGAAGGGCAGAGGGGGCTTGCCAGCTTGGAGAAAGGGCTGGAAAGAGGTGGGACCGCTCAGTGCAACAGGTGATCCCGATTGGATGCCGAGTTGGGCTAAAAGTATGCCCTAAGAGGACATTTGGGGACAATGGATGAAACGTGACTGTGCAGGGAGGAGGAGGGCGGTGGGGTTCTGCCCTCGACCGTGCTGAGCTTGACGGCCTTCTGTCACTATGTGAGAGGATGTCCCTGTTCTTAGGAAGGGCACGGGGAGAGTTTGCAGATGTCCGAGCAAACGGGCCAAAATGCAAACCAGTGAATCCGTTCAACAGAGCACACGGGGGCTCCTTGTCCCCTCTCTGCAACTTTTCTGAAAGTTGGAAATGACATCAAAATAAGTTTCCCCCAAAGCAGCCCCAGCATCCCCTAGATGAGCGACCCCCCTCCCTACGAGTGACCAGCAGCCCCTGTCAGTGGCCCACAGCCCCTGCTTCCAGAACTCCCAGAACCAAACTGGAAGCAAAAGTCGCCCAAGGGTGGGGATTTTAGCCTCGTCCCCCACCCCACCCCTACAGGTGATCGGCTCCCCTCGATCCTCACCGCACCCCCACAGATAAGCCCCCCACCCTCACCACACCCCCACAGATAAACTCCCCATCCCCCACTGCACCCCCACAGATGATAAGCCCCCGTCCCCACTGCACCCCCACAGATAAGCCCATCCCCCACCACACCCCCCACAGATAAGCCCCCATCCCCCACCACACCCCCACAGATA